CTACTATAGTGAATTATTAACCTGAGTTTTCTTCTATCATTTATAATTTAGGTGATCCTTCCCCAGCCCTGGAAGTTCCAAGGAAATAAGAGACAGAAGGGAGAAACAAACAAAACGAAATACAAAATGGAGATCATCTGGAAGTCAGTCAATTATTAGCTTTTGAATTTCAAAATGGGCTTTGGAAACTCATTGAACAGGATGACTCCCAAATACACCCCAAACACTAAGCTCTGAGTGTCAAAAAAATACAGTCCCCAAGAGCAAAGGGCATGAAGTTTTTACAATGATTAATAGATTTGGTGAAGGATAAATGAGAAACCAGAAACCTTGCCTAGGAAGATTCCTTAACAGGGCAGGGATGGTATGGAGGTCACTGGGCTGAGAGCAAAGGGATCCGGCCGGACAGCCTAAATGGACAGGGGGTGGGGTCAGCACTGAAAAGCTACTCAGCCTCAGCAGAGCCACGCACTGGTCATGCCCCCAGCGTAGGGAGGGCTTGGACAAGGCTCAAAGATGATTCAAATCTCGGGCTAAATGACTGCTAGCCACAGTGCAGGCCCAGGGGCCACACAACAGTTCTTTCATTTTCCAGAAAGACACACCCATCTGTGGGCCCGACTTGGCTCAGCCCTCTAAGTTACCAGGGACAGAAAGCCTTATTTTTCTTAGCCAGGAGGAAAGAAGGAAAAGTCTTTGGAGTCCCTACTGAATGGGGGCCCTGCTCCAGTCACCCGCTGAGCCTGGGCGGGAGGAAGCAGTAACCTAGCAACAAGAGGTCTGATTCACAGGGGCAAGTATTAGATGTTCTGATGGGACGAGGAGGTGGCAGGTCTGCAGTAGGGAATGCATATGGGAAGGAATCAAGGTTTTGATTTTAGCACTTCACATTTGCCTGCATAGCTGTTTCTCAATTTCTTTCTTTCTTTTTTATTTTTGGGTAGTCCTGGGAATCAAACCTAAAGGCCTCCTATCTCGGTGGCTGATCTGTGCCCCTGCTACATCATCCACCAATCCTTCTCCACATTCACATTTAAAGACGAGCTCTCTACAGGGGATGGGAATAGGAGAGACAGTAGAATGAATCAGACATCACTTTCCTATGTGCATACGTGAACACACGGCCAGTGAAACTCCACATCATGTACAACCACAAGAACGGGAAGTTGGACTCCACGTATGATATATCAAAATACACTCTCCTGTCATGTATAACTCAAAAACAAATCAAATAAAAATAAAGATTAGCTCTCCAGGCTTCACCTTACAATTTACTTTTCATAAGCTTTTTTTTTTTAATGTAGTGAAAAGTTTTTCAATCCTTCGGGTAAAAGTTTAATTGCTCCTAACTCTTGATGGATGACTTGAGATATACATATTTTCCTTCCAATTTTCTTCCAGAGGGTTGAATAAGCTCCTTGAAATCATTAGCTCTATTCACAGATCCTCATATACCTGCAGGAAATTCTCTAATACTTAATTCTCAGAAATTCATTATTGGCCAAAAGCCTAGAAATCTTGATTTGCTTTTAGTATTTTTATCATTATGGAGCAAAAACAGTCTGCAAAAATTTGACAGATTATTATTTCTGCTCAGTAGGTTTACATCTTCCTGTTCAGTCTATTAATTTAATACTTCACATCCCTTTATTAAGTCCTCTAAATATTATTAAGCATTTTCGGTGACATTCAACTCAGGCAAAACTGATTTTTTGCACTCTTCTTTAGTAGCAAAAAAATTAAAATAAATTATCTCAACTCTACAAAACCTTTACTAACACACTCTAACATTCTCATATTCAAGCAAGAGACCTGCTATTAAGAAAAGCAAAGGGAATAGGGAATGTTTTCCCTTTGGTCTAGCAGTTTTTGTTTCAATTTTCTACTTGACAACCCTGGAGCAGAAAGCGTTCAGACAGTGGGGCAACAGAACTTCACAAACCTGACACCTGAGCTGTGCACGTAGCTTTATTGCACTCCGTCCATGTTCAAATTACAGAACTGAAAACTAAGTGTTGTGCCCAGGGAAGACAACCTCATCTCCAACCCCTGAATTGATTTCCTGACAACTACTTACTATTCCCATGATACCCACAAAAGTTCAGTTATAATAAACTGTTAGAACAATGGAAAGGGTAGCAAGCAAATTGGTTCCCATCCCTGAGACTCAGAAAGATCTACGTGACCTGTAGGCCTGTGAGTACATAGTCCCTGGCTGCATCCTGACATTTAGGTCAATGATGGACCACATTTGTGCCGGTGGCCCTGTAAGATCACAAAGGAGCTGAAAAATTCCCATCATCTTGTGACGTCATTGCTATCACCATGTCACAATGCGCTCCTCCTGGGTTTGTGTTGGTGCTGGTGTGAACAGACCTGGTGTGCTGCCAGTCATGGAAAATAAAGCACAGAAAATTATACACAGTATATAATACTTGATAATAAACAACCATTACTGGTTTATGCGTTTGCTCTGCTATATACTCTGATCATTATTTCAGAGTAAACTCCTACTCACAAAAAAAGTTAATTGTGGCTGGGGAAGAGCATTTGCCTAGCATGTGCATGGCCCTAGGTTTGATACCTAGTACTATTAAAAAAACAATTTTTTAGTGTAAAATAGTATGCCATGTGGGGCCAGCAGATGTGTGGGAAGCATCTCTCTCTCTCTCTCCCTCATCATCATCATCATCATCATCATCATCACCATCATCATCCTGGTGTTGGGTTTGAACCCAGGGCCTCTGCATGCTAAGCATGCACTCTACCATGTTTCTGCATCTCCTGTGCTTGATTGGGCCTTGTGTGGTCTTGTTCATTGTGGCCCCGGGAGCAACGGGACACCCATGTCATACAGCCTAGTGCACAGTAGGCTAGACCATCTAGGGTTGTGTAGCACACTCTGAGACGTTCGCACAACAAAATCGCCCAACCACACATTTCTCTGAATGTATCCCTGTTGTTAAGCTGTTACCAATAATCTCGTTTCCTCTCCTAAGAGGAGGAACTCCCCAAAAAGGGTATGTTGGATGTTGCAAATTCAAGAGTGAGGCTGAGCCCCAAGAGCACATGTTTATTCAGTGACCAAAGAATGGAGAAATGGGAGCCTGGCTGGCAATGAACTTCTCAATCTGTTTCAGTGGAGAAATCATAGATTTAGAGTAAAAGAAATAAAAGGGAAGGATAGGCTAATAAAGTTGTGGGGGGCTATTCATGTCTTTGCATAGGCAGCTGTTTCCTGGAGTTCAATTCACCTTTTTTTCCCTGCACCTTTTATGGTCTGGGGCTTGCTCTCCTGGCAGCTGGTAGGTGTGTCACTTAGCATGGGAATTAGATTCTCATGAAGCTTGAGGTCATCCCTGGCAGCCATCTCAGATCCAGCCGGCTTGGGGATAGCCTACCTGAAGAGGAACTTTTGACACCCTGACCCCAAAGACAGGCAGGATAGAGCAGGCTGGAAATGCAGCCAGACCTCGTAGGGCGTACACTGGGTGACAGATGGGTGACTGAACATTCTTGAGCAGGATAAACGTATATGTTGCGAAACTCGACTGCAGAACAATTCAATATGTTTTTCAAATGCACCGTCTCAGTTCCTTCATTGAGTGTGCTCAGTCAAGATAGAAGGAATGAGTCTGAATCACAGAAGAAATGACTGAAGTAAGGTCAGGCAGTTTAAAAAGGCTGCTGGATGAGTCTTTATTGAGATTGCATTCCTGGGCGAGACCCTCAGACCAACAGGGTGGGTCGGGGAGAAGCCTGCAGGGCTGAACCAGACTGGAATTTTTATTGGGCTTAAGGAGGGCTTGGAACAGGAAAGGGGGTTTTAGAGTCCCTTGTCCTACTGGGGTTGGTCAGGGGAGCTGGCTAAGATTCAGGATTGGCCAGGAGACCCCGCTGATTGACAGGCGGTTCCTTCAACGCCTGATTGGTGTTTCTTTCTTGGGCTTGGATTGCTTAGTGCTTTGTTCCTCAACCACCTCCATCGACCTGACAACTGACTCTGGATCAAATGAAGCCACATGAAAATAGTGGAAACTGCGACTTCAATAACTTGAAGTTGAGACTCAAGTGTGCCTCTTGGTACTTATGTTTTTTTCCCTCCCCTTTGGTACCAGCATTGAACAATGAGCCTGATCCCCAGCCCTTTTTTTTAATTTATTTTTTATTTTTTTGTAGTTATAGATGGACAGCATGCCTTTATTTCATTTGTTTATTTTTATGTGGTGCTGAGGATCCAACCCAGGACTTTGCACAAGCTAGGCAAGCGCTCTACGACTGAGCTACAACCCCAGCACCCCCAGCCCTTTTTAAAAATTTTTTATTTAGAGACAGGTTCTCTTTAAGTTACTTAGGGCCTCACTAAGTTGCTGAGGCTGGCCTCAAACTTACGCTTCTCATGCCTCAGCCTCCCAGTTTGCTGGGATTACAGCTGTGCACCACCAAACACAGCTACAATGTATCTTTCTTTAAACATTTATTTTTTTAGTTGTAGGTGGACACAATACTTATATTTTATTTTTATGTGGTGCTGAGGATCAAACCCAGTGCCTCACGCATGCTAGGGGAGAGCTCTACCACTGAGTCACAACCCCAGCCCTAAAAGGTATCTTAAGACTGCATTTTTTTTCTACTTATGGTACAAATAGAATGAGAACACATTTGGAAATGATTTCAAGTCAAAATTTTCAGTTCTATGACCATATCTACTGGAAAATGTGGAAGAATTCACTAAGTGATGAAGAAACACAGAAAGATTAGGACAACTTACATCTCAATCCAAAGGAAAGGTATAAATCTTGTAAATTGCAAGCTGGACACAGTGGCATGAGTTTGAAACTATCCTGGGCAACACAATGAGACCCTATCTCACAAAAAGAAGCAAAACAAAAAGATCTTATATATGCAATAAAGACTATTAGGAAAGATTATGGATTATACATCTCATTACCCTTATATATTTCTCATATATATCACCAATAACACAAAATAGTCAATCATTTGCTTAAAATTCATTTACTTTTTATATACACAGTCATACTACATCAACATTTTAATATCCATAAGTGATACATAAAATTTAAACTCGAAAATGAAGCAACTAGTGTTGCTTTTACAATGCTTCCCACTTGAAATAGGAAAAGAACGTTCTGGCCACGTGGCTCAGAGGAACAGGACACTGATACAAGTATTAGAAAGTAAGCATATAGAACATTCATCATGAATACTAAATGGTAATATTCAACATGGCAGGAACCAAGGTCAAATACCAAGCATTTGACCTTGGTATAGAAGTAAAGAATAGCACTGTGGTAGCCTGCAGTAGCCTTCCAGTGGTAGTAGAAGGTTTGCCACTTAACAGGAACCAGTTCTCAGTCCCCAACAGGCACAAATTCATAGCGCACACACTCCATCCATTAGCAACCCAATGTGGAAATGCAGTCAATTCTATTATTTGGCCACTGTCTGGCTATCTGGCTCAATTTCCATCTTCAGGTCATGTGGACTTTCTTGTCCTATGGAGTGAATGCAGAAGAGGAAGAACAAGCAGGCACCTACTATTGTGATTTCAGAGGTCGCAGGGAGGAATGTTCCTGCAATTGTGTAACAGGTGTGATCTGTCAGTCATCACTCAGACAAGCCCTAGTATGCACCATGAACTATTAAATAGTGATAGACATGCACAAGGGCTATTTAGTGGTTTGGGGAAGACCCCATTACCATTCCATCCAACTTTTAATTTTTATTTATTTTTGGAATGATGGGGATGGAACCCAGGCCCGTGTGCATGCTAACAAGGGCTCGACCACTGATCTACATTCCCCATTCTTGGCTCCATTCAACTCTTCTTTTTGAGGATTGAACCCAGGGATGCTTAACAACTGGGCTACATCCCAGGGCCCCCCGCCCCCCACTTTTTTTTTTGAGACAGGACCTCCCTAAGCTGCTGAGGCTGGCTTTGAACTTGTGATCCTCCTGTCTCAGCCTCCTGAGCCACTGGGATTATAGGTATGTGCCACTGCAACCAGCTTCCATTCAACTTTTAAAGACCAACACCCTGGTCTTGTAGAGATGGGGAGAGACATGAAAAGTTGCTCTTCTGAGGGTTACATGCAAGCAGGGCTGTAGATCCAAATCCCACAAGCCATTTCCACCTCCAAGAGAACAACTGTCTGGCCCTGGGAGCTACAGCTGGAGAAAGTCAGGGCTGTACAGCGATTAACACAGTATAGCTGTCTGCATATGGAGATGAAAGTGAAAGGGTGATCCGTTCAGTTTTAGACAGAAAAAACAATCCACAAACTACATAAATTCATTCACAATCTTGCTGAGTTTCTGCTCTCTGCCCACCCTGTGCAGAACCCCTCAAATACAAATATGAATAAGAAATATATTCTTCCTCCAAGCTCATGGTCTGGTAGGGAAGACAGATACTCAAACAGAGAATGACTAGACTTTGCTAAAAATTCACAATGATGGCAATGATCTTTGCCAGGCTGGTTTTCATCCAACAGAAATTGGATGGCATCATGTAAAGTGTACCGGGAGTCTTCTGCCAAAAAAATATAACCTCCCCTCTCCCCACAGAATGAGTTCCTGAAAAGCCATCCAAAGATAAGTTTGTATTAGCAATAACAAAATAAAATCTAACCACAAGGATGAGATCCTCATTAGAATAAGTTATATTCCATGCATGTATGTGTCAAAATATACTCTACTATCATAAATATTTAAAAAGAACAAATTAAAAAAATAATATAGAAAGGCTTTTCTACACATCACAGTAAAATAGTTTAATAAGACTACTTTTGGAACATGTAGCTGAAATCAGCCAAAGGAAAGACAACAGGAGTTTTGAGAGCAAGGAAAAGAAGCGAGGACTAATTTGAAAGAGAGAGCACTACAGCCAGAGATAGGGGGCACCCAGAGGAAGGAGAGGGGAGGGGGGGTACCACCTTCTCTAATGCATGGTTGTCCCCATCACTAGGGTACTGACCCCTGACCTTAGGGACATTATTCTACCACCCTGGAGTGTTTGAATGGTCCAAGTACTGGCAACGGAGACAGGTGTGCGATCCACATTTTGTTTTTGTTTGGGGCGTTTTCTTTGCGGGTGCTGGGGACAGAACCCAGGGCTCACACATGCTGAGCCGCATCTCCAGCCCTGGAGAGGGGGGCTTTGGTGGAGAGTCCACCCAGAGCAAGGAAGAGATGCATGAATAAAGATTCAGTTAAGGAAAATAAAATTCTTAAAAATATATATTCAGTTAAGGAAAGATAGACACACCAAAAATAGAAAAAGACAAGCTTTCAATGAATGTGTACCAAAAATATTATTAATTATTTTTTTCTGTTCACATCTCTTCATATGCTCTTGATCTTTAAACTCCAGATTTCCCTTTTCACTTATGGGCTGCCAACGATATTAAATGAAAATATTTCAATAGTTTGCATTTTCGGCAATTTAGTTCTAAAGCTCATGAGTAACAATGGATTAAATGAAGTCAATCCAAAGTCAAAAACTCCAGGCACAGAAATCCATTAACTTTTAATATTCTCAGAAGATGAACCTAATTTTAAATGAAAGCTGCCTCTTAAACTATATTATGGTTGTTCTAGACCATAATTTGTTTTGGCAAACACTCTGAAGAAATTCACATGAAATTTCAATGAACTACAAGTAAATTACCCATGTAGCAAAAAATATTTTTGGATAGCTGCAAATGAATACTAAAAGATGATGGACTTTGGAAGAAAAACAGTAATCAAATAAAATATGTAGTGATGGCACATGGGTTAGAAATTATTCCCGGTAATCTGTCTCTATTAAGGAGACTATCCACATTTAATTTGGTCAAGTATAGCTACACAGTGAACGTGAAGGCCCTATTGAGACACAACCCAAAATGCCAAAGTAAAATTTCTTTTTAGGGTTTTAATCCGAAAGAGATAGAATAATTTTTCCTCGATTCACCAAAATTACAGTCATTAATGAAAACGTTCCCCCTTTGAACCCTAACTTTTAGTAGGTTTCATTTCTTTCATTCATTAAACAGTTTCTTATTCTGGCCCAAACAGCATCATTGCACATCTAGTAATAATTAAATCTTCCCAAAGCTTCCTTCCCCGGAAGTAAATTCAGTGTGATCCGTAACTACCAAATTTACTGACATTACAGCAGACAAATAATCAGTTACTCTATCCACCAAATTACCCAACTGAACAGATTTTGAGAAAAAATATGGAAGTCGCAGGATAAGCCGGTCACACTTGCTAGAAGATTTTAAACATACCCAACCTCTCCTGTGACTTCTATTAATTTGCCTACAAAAAAGACTGATAAGGTGCAAATTATGAATGACTTTTAACTACAGGTGAGCTGGATGAAAGTACCTACATTTTTTTGAAAGTTGAGGAATGGTCAGTGGAAATTTCTCTCTGCATTAGACACTACGTATATTTTTTCCTCTCGCTTTTCCTTTCTTTTTTCATTTTTGCAGTGCTAGGGACCAAACCCAGCCAAATGCTGGGCAAATGCTCTACCATCAAGTCCCACTCCCAGCCCCTAAATACTTATTTCTCTATACTTTCTCCTTCAAGACCCCATCTCCATTCACAGAGAAAGAAAGCTACCACCCCCCACACCCCAAACCCCGCACCAAGACTCCATTTTTCAATTTTATGGAAAGGGTCAGATCTCTGGAGACTGCAGATGGAAACTAGATGTCCAAAAATTTTGACGAGTAGTACTTAATTATAATTATCCTGGATACACTTTTTTGATGACACGATTTGCTTTGTGTTAACAAATGGCTTTTCTGTTGTATTAACTACTTTTGAAATAATGCAAATAACAAATTGTTTTAGAATTCAACCATCTAGAAACTTTCTTAGTATTGCCCAAATGTAAAATATATCAACAACTATTAATTCAAATAAATTATATATATTTAAAAGTTACATGTTTAAGAATTATGTAAACATATTACAAGTTGTACAAATCACAGGCTTAAAAATTTACAAATACATTCTTAAATTGATCTTAAATATAAATTCTCAAGATAAATTAGGAGTTTTAAGGGGGAAAAAAAAAAGAGTTCAGGGGCAAGGTGTGGTGGTGCAGACCCTGTAATCGCAGCAACTCAGGCAGCTAAGACAGGAGAATCACAAGTTCAAGGTCAGCCTGGGCAACTTAGCAAGGCCCTAAGCAACTTAGTGAAACCCTGTCTCTCAATAGAAAACAAACAAACAAAAATGGATGGGAATGTGGCTCAGTGGTAAAACACCTTGGGTTAAATCTCCAGTACCAAAAAATAAAAAGAAAGAAAAAAAGAGTTCAGGGCTTCACATCTAGAAAATTGGGAAACAGGCCTTTGGAAGCAACAGAATTGTGGGGTAACTCTTGAGTGAAAGTGGCTGAAACTGGGCTCAAGGAGTCCTCCTGCCTCAGCTTCCTGAATAACTAGGACACCAGTCCACATGACTATACCCAGTTATTCACATAATTTTTAAACCTGCTGGTGTTGAGGTTAGACATACTGGATAAATTTGAAAGACAGGCTCAAGTTTCTCACACCTATTTTAAAGTATACATATTAATTTTAAAGCACTGAATCTTAAAAATACATCAGTGAGCTGGGTGTAGCTCAGCAGTGCTTGTTAGCATGAGCAAGACCTTGAATTTGACCCAGGGAGCTTTCAAGAAGAAAAAACAAAACACCTGTGTGAGATTTGGGGTAACTATTTTCCCTGGTACAGTATGGACTCAAGTTTCTCCTCTCAGAGAAGAAAAATTATTAGTTTTTTTTAGAACTTTCATTCAATATAGTTCACTAAGAAGACAAATATTTTATTTCACATATCTAGGAAATGGGGTGTTTTAGTCAATTGAATATGCTCAAAAGTAAAAAACATTAACTAAAAGTATACTTAGATGTTATGATATAAAAGTAGAATACATCAATAAAATATTGCTTGGAATGCTCATCATACTCTATTCTTTTTTGATGATAAAAGTGTACTTATAGAATTTAAACATCAGCATAATAATTATTCTAGAGTATTTCAGAGGGGAAATCTGATTATTCAGTCTTCTCCTTGATTGAGTTCTATGTAAGTAGAAATGCACTGTCAGGGCTATATTTGATATAAAAGGTAATCTGATCCAAAAGTGTTTAGGAGACAACCTGAGATTTTAAAATAGAGATATAAACAAGTAGCACTGGGGTCTCTGAACTCAACAGGACTAAAATATTAGAACAGAAATATTAATAATTCTAAAATGCCCTTTTGCCACTGTAGTCAATTTTAGCCAAAATACCAGGAAAGCAAAAGCTTTAGAGAAGTAGGATTTTCAGAGTAGAACTGGGGGAGAAGTTCTGGATGAAATTTAAAGGAACCATGGATCATTTAAAAGCAATTGGGTCTACAGAAGTGCGATTCTTCAAAATGGAGCTCAGACCTGATGAATGAAATGCTTTCTCTGCAGGGAATTCAGTGCACTTTGGGAACAAAAGGTAGTCCCATTAAGGGGGGCCCTGCCTCCTCACTTCCCTGGGCGCCTTCCTCCCACATCGGCCTCTTTTCTGTGAAGGAAGGCGAATGCCGACTGCAAGGTGCCATCGCCGCTCTGCTGGGAAAAGCAGAGGAAGGTGGCCCAGAGGAAACCACAGAGTCCAGTGTAAGCTGTCCTCCAGTGGACGGGAACCAGGCCGAAGTTGGTCAGCTGGAACAGAGAGAGTCTGTAAGGGCTCCACAAGTCAGAGGCAGGGTTCGCATTCTGAGTGGTTTTGTTTATTTGTCTATTTGGGGTTTTGTTTTGGCAGAGCTAGGGATCAAACCCCAGACCTCAGACATGCCAGGCAAGCCCCCTCCCACGGAGCTACACCCCAGCCCGAGGTTCCAAGGAGTTTGAAACTCACCTGTACAAAAGGCCAGTACATCAGACCTGTCTGGAATAAGGAAAAACCTGATTACAATGCTGTTTCAATCTCACACACACAATTCTATAAAAGAACAAGAAATATGAGGAAGACAAAATGCCCAGGTGGTACACTGTATCAGACTAAGCCGATTAAATTCAGATTACTCTTTTCTTCCTTTTTTCTTTCTTTCTCTATTCGCTTCTTTCTTTCTTTCTTGACTGTTCCCATTTCAGGTGTACTTTCTTTTTTTACTTGTTTATATTTTCTGAAGTTTCTAAACTAAACAGTTGCAAACCAAAGATATACTATGTACTTTTACATTAATATATATTACATGTAATACATATTTTATATTTAAAGTATATGTCCATTTGAGAATTTAACAAAGTATTTTTGTAAAGTAGCAAAAAATAATTCTCGAAGGCTAAACCCATTCAAATATGGCTTGACTTCTTCTTTCTTTTTCTTTTTTTTTTGGGGGGGGGGGTACCAGGGATTGAACCCAAGGGTGCTTAACCACTGAGCCACATCCCCAGCCCTTTTTATTTTTTTATTTTGAAACAATCTCACTAAGTTGCTTAGGGCCTCACTAAGTTGCTGAGGCTGACCTTGAACTTGTGTGATCTTCCTGCCTCAGCCTCCTGTGTCACCTGGATTAAAAGTCTGAGCCACTGCACCGGATCATCTTTTTTAAAACTTTTTTTAGATGTTGATGGACCTCTATTTTATTTATTTATTTATTTGTTTGTTTGTTTGTTTATTTATTTATATGCAGTGTTGAGAATTGAACCCAATGCCTCTCACACACCAGGCAAGTGCTCTACAACCTCAGCCTCCTGGCTCACCTTTTATAGTTAAAAATATATATGTATTTGGAAATAATTTCAAACTTACAAAAACTAACAAGAATAGTCTAAGTAAGCTGGGCTCAGTGGTACACACCTGTAATCCCAGCAGCTAGGGAGGCTGAGGCAGGAGGATTAAGAGTTCAAAGCCAGCCTCAGCAACAGTCAGGCACTAAGCAACTCAGTGAGGCCCTGTTTCTAAATAAAATACAAAATAGGGCTGGGGATGGGGCTCAGTGGTTGAGTGTCCTTGAGTTCAATCCCTGGTAGAAAGAAAGAAAGAGAAGAAAAGAAAAGAAGGAAGGAAGGAAGGAAGAAAGGAAGGAAGGAAGGAAAGAATAGTCTAAAGAACATTCCTGTATTCTTTACCCAAATTCACCTATTTTTTTAACACTTTGTCCCATTTGCTTTATTAATTGGTGTTCCATGCCTCCATCCCTCCGTGCCCCCGCCCATGCACGCCCCTCTCCAGGCTACTTGCATGCATGCATCTGTCTGATATGGTTTTGTGGATCATCTGAGAGGATGCTGTACATAGAATTGCCCCTTACCCCTGGATACTTAAGTATCTATTTCCTTAGAATTAGGATGTTCTTTTATATCACCACAATTCTATAGGTTATATAGTTATCGATTTCAATAAAGTTACCAATGACCATGCTTTATATATTGTCCATTGTGGGAGCCGCCCTGGATGACGTGCCTTTAAGTCCTGATGTACGGGATTCTGAGAATTATTGCTTTCAGTAGGGCACAGTAGTGCCAGGTCACAGTAACTTGGGCATTACCCCAGCTTGGATAACAAGGAGTGGCTCCAGGAGTAGGTGTCACCCACGGGGGCTAAGTTACACTCACCTGTTCCTTTGTAATCCTACCCCTTCTACCTTTTTTGGGTAGAATGTTCTAAGAAACAGTGTTCCCCCAAATAAAAGCCCACTTCCAAAGTGTGCGCTCTCTCTCTCTCTCTCTCTCTTTCTGGCAGCCTCTCGTGACCTTCTCTTGTCCCCCTTTGGTGGAGCCTGAGGCCAGGAGCCAGAGAAAGCCGTCCTGAAGCTTATAAAAGGTATTCTGTGTCTGTGTGGTATTTTGCAACACCCCGAGTTCACACGAGTGACTTTAGTTCAGCTGCCCGCACTGGATGGGGGTGGCAGTCCATATCCCATTTTTCCAATTGGCCATGTAAGGGCCTTCAGGGACACAATATCTTTGTTTATTTATTTTTATGTGGCACTGAGATTCAAACCCAGTGCCTCACACATGCAAGGCAAGTGACCTACCACTGAGCTACAACCCCAGTCCCTTCATGTCATTTCTTTTCCTTATGGTACGTGATCTAGTTTAGGATGAGGAATTGCATGTACTTGCCGTGTCCCATTAGTTCCATTGATTAGGGACATTAAAAAAAAAACAAAAAACTATTATGACATTGCTATCTCTGAAGAGTAAAGTCTTGCCTTCTCTTAGAATAAAAACAAATATTTTAATATGGGGAGGTTTGTCTGTGTTTCCTCATGATTAGATTTGGGTTATAATTCCTGGCTGGAACGCTGCATGTGGGTGGTGTCATGTCCTCGAGTTATCCCATCAGAAGGCGCATGATGCCCACCTGCCACTGATCAGAGATGTTCATTTTGATCACTGCTCGTGGTGTCCAGTTTTGCCACTGTACAGTTGCCCTTCTTTTACCCTTGAAACTATCATGGGTAGCAATAATGTAACCTGTAGGGAGGCACCAAAGACCATTCAAACAGGAGCCCGTCCCCTTCAGGATATCCTCCTCCCTATGGGTGGATTCTCTGCCTCCAGTTGATTCTGTCTGACCCACTGTCCTGTTGTGATGGGCTGCCACATGGTAAGCTTCCACCCCCAGCAGTAGTCCCCCATTTGACCCGCTGCTGCTCAGCATTCTGCTCTCCCAGGTATTTCTCTCTTTATTATCCGTATGGACTCAGGATTTCCTACTTCTTTCTATGTTTTATAATCCATTACTCTGTTTAATTATTTTTGGTGCTCAAGTGCCCCAGATTTAGCCAGTGGGAGGCCCTTCAAGCTGGCTCCTACGTCCTTGTGCTGTGCTGCACCTTTTTTTTCTTTTTGAAAAAATCTACTTCCTGACAGGTAAGGTGATGCATGCCTGTAAGTCCAGCAACTTGGGAGGCTGAGGTAGGAGGATCCCAAGTTTGGGGCCAGCCTCAGCAACTTAGTGAGACCCTGTCTCAAAATAAAAAGGGCTGGGGAAGAATACAGTCCTGTATTCTACAGTCCTGAAGAATTCTTCAGAGATAGCAATGTCATAATAGATTGAAAAACAAAAGGCTCAGAAAATAGGAAATGTCCCTGATGAATGGGGATGTGGTTAAGCCCTTCTGGGTTCAATCCTAAATTTTAAAAAAACAAAAAAAAAAACTTCCTTACATTCTGGTATAACGAGATGTTCCAGGCTTAACTAATACCTTGTACCTTGTACCTGCCCTTCCCTAGTCTTGGAACCAGTCATTTCTTTAAGGAGTCCTCATTCATTCTTTTTTTATAAGGAATGATGTTAGACACCAAAGTTTGAGCACTGATGGCACCATGTTATGTCAATAAAATCAGTGGCAGATGGGTGTGGTGGTATATGCCCGTAATCCCAGCTGCTCTGGAGGAGAATCTCAAGTTCAAAGTCAACCTCAGCAACTTAATGAGGCCCTAAGTAACTCAGTGAGTGAGACCCTGTCTCTAAATTTAAAAATACAAAAAAAGGCTGGGGGTGTGGCTCAGTGGTTGAGCACTCCTGGATTCACTCCCCAGTACCAAAAAAGAAAGAAAGAAAATCAGTGTCCAACAGGGCATGAAGGTGCATGCCTCTAATCCCAGCAGGCATGGGCAAGGGTGAGGCAGGAGAATCACAAGTTCAAAGTCTCAGCCTCAGCAACTTAGCAACTATACAAAAACTATAAACTACACAAGAGAAGAATGTAATATCAAATTGACTTGTTTTGTTTTTGGTACCAACAACTGAACTCAGGGGCACTCAACCACTGAGCCTCATCCCCAGCCCTATTTTGTATTTTATTTGGAGACAGGGTCTCACTGAGTTGCTTAGTGCCTTACTTTTGTTGAGGCTGGGTTTGAATTCTTGATCCTCCTGCCTCAGGCTCCCAAGCTGCTGGGATTACAGGTGTGCACCACTGTGCCCAGCTCAGATTGACTTCTAAGAGAGAATACATTTGAGCCCCAATACTGCAGCCGGTGAAAGGAGACTGAAATTGCATGCCCTCTGTGCACAAAGTGAAAAAACAAACCAAAAGACTCAAGGACTACTTATACATGAACAACAAATATAGTAGTCACATCCTTCCCATTTCCATCTAAAGAACACAGACTGGAGTGGGGTGTGGTGGCATCCCCCTTTATTATCCCCATGAGGGGGGAGGCTGAGGCAAGGGATCACAAGTTCAAGACCAGCCTCAGCAACTTAGCAAGGCCCTGTCCCAAAATAAAAAGAGCAGGGGATGTGGTTCAGTGGTAAAGTGCCCCTGGGTTTTGTCCCCAGCACCAAAAAATATAGAAAGAAAGAGCATGGATTGGGCAGAGAAGTGGCTTCTTTACAACCAATACTCACACTACCACTTGGAGTCAAGATAGCCCTTTGTGGCGGATTCTTTGTGAATACTTCTGACTGCAAACACTTTGTACTATTAGTTTCATTGATCAAACTCGAATCAAGAGCCCAGTTTGCAGCCAATTTCTCCTATGTCTAATACCACTAGCTCTGAACTCTCTTCTGTGTAGTAGAAACCTCACAATAGACCAAAGTATCTGAAATTCAACATTTCCCAAACTGAACCTATCTTATTTTCTCTGATTGGCTCCCCTTCCTCCATGTCCTATGTCATATGAAGACACACTACACATACGGTTGCTCCAGCCAGAAACCTGCTCCATCCCTCACCCCTTGACACTGCTTTTGATGGAGAACTAAATACATCTGAAACATGAGGCCCGTCTGCATATATTCTGGAATTCTGAAATTTTATCTTATTGTTATTAATAGAATCAAACCTGCTCTGGGCAAGAGATGAAAAATATCCCTGATTTTGCCAAGCCTTAGGATCGTGTTCAACAGATTTTTATTGAATAAATGAATGAAATGTGTGCGGGGCTGGATTGTATGCATTTGTACTGAGCAAACAGCACAGCAGGAGACTTGCTCCAAGCCTAGGGAGAAACCTGGGAAACATCATCCTTCTCTGTAAATACCTCTGTGGCATTAAGAAGGTTCTTTTCACAAGGACTCAGCAGAAGGCACAACTGGAAACACTGGCTCTGAATGTGGGAACAATTTCATTAAAGCCACTCACATTCTCCAATTTCTACTTTGCAGATAGCCTCTGAAATTTACAAAATAAATTGTGATCACTCATGATCAGAAATATGATAAAGCCCCCGATCATCATGAATGTTAACTAAATTAAAGAGATTCTTTTCTACCCATGAGAAGCAAAGACAGCCCTAAGTCTCTTCCCAATCAGCTGTCAGAACAAATTCCCATCAGGTACAGTGGTGCACGGCTGTAGTCCCAGCTAACAGGAGGATCACTTGAGCCCAGGAGTCTGAGACCAGCTGGAGCAACACAGCCAGACCCCATTGCAGGAAAAAAAAAAAAAGAAAGTAAGAAAGTAAGGAAGAAAGGAAGAAAGAAAAAAAGAAAGAAAGAAAACATAGGGCTGGGGATATATTGCCTCACAGGCACAAGGTCCTAGGTTTGATCCCCAGCACCACGAAAAGATAAAGAAAGAAAAAATAAAATATAAACAACAATTTGAAAATATTTAATGCGTGCCTTAATCCCAGCAACTAGGGAGGCTGAGGCAGGGGGATCATAAGTTTGAGGCTATCCCCAGCAACTTAGAGAGATCTGGTTTCCCAGTAAAAAATCAAAAGGGCTGGGGACGTAGCTCAGCAGAAGAGCACTTGCCTAGCATACACAAGGGCCTGGGTTCAAAATCCTTAGTCCTGGGGAAAAAAAGAGACAGAAAAAAAAATTCAAGACTTCTGTCAAAGTATTGATAGAGATACTGGACCAATCAAAATTGGAACCCTAATTTAAAAATAGTTTTACTAAAACGTACTTAATGTTAAAAATCTGCAAATACAATTTCAAAAACCTGTCTTACCTTATACGTATTCCAAAATTTCTGTTTCAGGTCCAAAAGTACGTCATCCTTTTCCTGAAGAATGCTCATACCTATGTACAGAAGCACACACAGAAAGAATTTTAGGGATGGGGTGTACCTCAGTATTATTCTAATCAAAATTTAAATGTAGGGTATCAATTTAGCCTTCCTGAAAATTACTTCATCATCCCTGGAAAGAAATTTGGGGATGGGGGGACTCTCTTAGGAAGGGTATAAAAATCAGTGTAATTTAAAAATTCTGCTCCAGTCCTGAATGGAATGTTTCTGGACTACTGTGTACAAGGCCCTGGCTGTGATCCCCAGCACTGGAAAAAAAACTTTTTTTTTTTTTTTAGCCAGGTGCAGAGGAGCACAAGTTCAAAGCCAGCCTCAGCAAAAGTGAGGCACTAAGCAACTCAGTGAGACCCTGTCTCTAAATAAAATACAAAATAGGGCTAGTGATGTGGCTCAATGTTTGAGTGCCCCTGAGTTCAACCCATGGTACAAAAAAATTTTTTTAATTTTTTTTTTACAGATCCAGGTAAAATATTACTGTAAAACAGTTCTTATTCAAGTTTTCCATTCCCATATTCAAAGTAACCAGCCATAATCACTCACTCAATATATTCCTTTTGATCCAACAGTGAAAACAGAACATAATCTTCATTTCAAAACTAGATAAATGGTGGCCCAGCCCCGTGGCACACTCCTATACTACCAGCCACTAGGGAGCCTGAGGCAGGAGGATCTCAAGTTTGAGGCCAGCCTGGGCAATTTAGCAAGATCCTGTCTTGAAATAAAAAGGTGTGGGGATTAGCTCAACGATTGCCCAATATGTTCTAGGCCCCAGGTTCAATCCCATGTACAAAAAAAAAAAAAAAAACTAGATAAATTTTAAAGTAATGGCAAATACAAAGTTAGAATAACAGTTGTTAGAATAACAGTTTATAGCAGAACAAATTTTTTTTCAATAAAAAAATGGTAAGAATCCACACACACATACAAAGTAGCATTAATATAATGAACCTGTCAGTGAGGTTTTCAAACATTTTGTGAAATGCTGAAAATTTTTAAATTTCCTTTTTTTAAAAAAATATTTTTTAGTTGTCGATGGACCTTTATTTTATTTATTTATATGCAGTTCTGAGAATCAAACCCAGTGCCTCACACATGCTAGGCAAGCGCACTACCACTGAGCCACAACCCCAGCTCCTCCTTTTTTTTTCTTTTTTTTTAATGCATGCTAAACACATGCTCTACCACTGAGCTACATCACTACCCTAATGTTATTCATTTTAAAAAGGCTGGTAGACTCTGGATATTCTAGCAACTACAAATTTCCCATTAGTATTATTCTAATCAGGGTATTATTTAATGCAGGGTATCAATTTAACCTTCCTGAAAACTACTTCATCATCCCTGGAAAGAAATTTGGGGATGGGAAGACTCTCTTAGGAAGGGTATAAAAATCAGTGTGATTTAAAAATTCTCCCCCAACCCTGATTACCAAGAAGGGAAAATCAGAGACTTATTAGTCAACTGCAGGAGATTCTTAGAACAAGAATCAAAAGAAAACCCAGCAAAAAAATATTGGTAATACTGTGTTCCACTTGCCCAGCATTAGTTAAATGCTATGCACTTCCTGTGTACCATTTCACCTGACCCTCCTAACAATTCTCCAAAGTAGGTAAGGCTAAAAGAAGGAAAAAAGATTAGGGAGGCTAATAACGGTGGAGTCCAACCTAGCTGTCCAATTCCAAGCCAGACCTCAAAACCGTCAGTACTCTGCCTCCCCAAGGTGGTCCTGGCACAAAACATCATCAGACTTAGGCAATTTCCAAGTAACACCTTCAACAAGCATCCAACTCACCCCTCCTGCCTTCCCTCTTTGTTGTAACATGAAGAGAGGGAAAATGGAGGAGAAATCAAAAACCAAAGCAAAACAGCAATCTGAGCAGGAGTCTCTACCAGGGCCCTCAGGCCTCAATCACAAAAGACCAAAACCACTGAGACTTAGCTTTTTCTGACCTCAGACAGACAACAGCTCACCATCAGGGTCTCAAGATCAAGAACATGATTGACAGCCCAAAGATGTGGTCTCTGGGGTGAATCACTATTTGTAAGATGAGAATAAGGAGAGTACCTGCTTCATTGGTTGAAGATTAAATCAAATCCTGACACACACACACCCCCTTCACCAGTGTAAGGCCACTGTACTCACAGGCACAGGAACCTATTTGCAAACTTGGTTGGGAAGGCCCACTGTGGGACCAGGCACAGATCGTCCAATAAAATCAGGAGGCCCCTGCTCTCAGGCTGTCTAGTCTCCCCATCCCACTGACCCCATCCACCAGAGGTTTGCTGAGACTCCAACAGGCAACCAGGTCTTTGATGATTCCTGTGCCGTCTGTAGGGACTGTAGCCACCAAGCTGGGCTGCAATTTATCTGGTTTTTGAAAGAAGATTATGTTCTGTTTTTACTGTTGGCCTCCCTAAATAAGACCTTGGGGCAGGGATGTTTCCTCAAGTTGGTGGCTCCCTGCTCTCAACCAGTTTTAAGAGTCACTGAGCCACTGAGACAGGTCCCCTCCCAATCTGGGAGGGAATTTGTGACTCCCAGTACCAAGGTTAGGTTGCAAACTGTAGAGATTTTCTTCAGAAATGAGTGTCCCTCCCCAGTTACCTGCCCGGATCGAGGCTACATAAGCTACCCACCCACCCCTTCTGTATTTCTTGGTGGTCAGGCAAGGGTCGCCAAAGTCCGACCTTCCACCTGCTGGCACATTTTCTGAAGAGAAGGTTTCCTTGCAGGTATAGAGTCCCCTTAAATTCTGAGTGAGACCCCCATGGAAAATCTTGTTACCAAAGCAGGACTAGGACCCTGGGCGTGGATTTTCTGGGCAACTAGGCCCAGCGACAGGTTCCACCTGCTCTGCTTCCCACAGTTCTGGGTCCTCTAGCACTTTGATGGTGTGTTGGACCCAGAGCATGAATTTTCCAGCAGCCTCCAGGGAGTGCAGTTGCTGGGGTTTAAGGAAAGGACCCCAAACCTATGCCCCACTCTTGAACTCTGCCCAAACCGCCTCTGCTCTGATCCGTGGCCCACTGGACTCCCCAGCTCCCAGGCTTCCCTAATTCCTCTCTCTGAGAAACCTCAACTTCCAGTCCCAGGCACCTCAGCCCGGGTTCCCAGCCTCCAGTCCTCACCCCAGGGCTTTCAAACCTGGTCCCCACCTCCAGAGCAACCCGCTTCTGCCTCAGTGCTCCGTCCCTGCAACAGTGCGCAACGATCCTCCGCCCCCTCAGTCCTTTAACCTCCTTCTGGGCCTCCAGTACCCTAATCTCGGCACTCAGGCCCGCTAGTACCCCGGTCCCCTGGACCCTGCCCTGGCCCCTCACCGACGTAGAAGGCCGAGAGGGCGATGGGCCCTCCGAACAACTGGTCGCACAGCACCTTGGTCAGGACCACGCGCGGCGCGCGGCCGGGCAGCGCGCGCTCCAGCAGGCGCAGCCACACGTAGTTGAAGTTGGCGTGGAAGGTCACGGCCAGGGTGGCCACGCGCCGCGTCTGGCGCCAGTCTGCCGGGCCGCCCCGCAGCCGCTGCTGGAGCGCGTCGCCGGCCGAGAAGAGCCCGGCGTAGAGCAGGACGTTGGTGGGCCACGGGTAGCGCTGGGCCGCGCGCGGCAGCGCCCGCCACCATCCAGCCATGCCGGTGCCTGGGCACCCGCCCAGCCGCCTAACTGCACCGCCTCGGCCGCCGCCCGCGAGCTCAGCACCTCCACCTCCACCTCCACCTCCACCTCCACCTCCACCTGCCTCCTCCGGATGCTCGAGAGCGATTGGGCGCCCCGCGCACGCCCAGCCCGCGCGTCCAATCCCGAGGCCGCTGGCCATCGTGGGGGCTGAGCATTTGGAAAGCGCCTGGTCTGCGCAGCGCTAGAGTCCATTTGCATGAAATCTCCAGAATAGGCAAATCCAGACTGACAGAAGGTAGATTAGTCGTGGTCAGGGCTGGGCCATGTGAGAACAAAAAGGGACTGCTACCGGGTCTTGGGGTTCTTTTTAAGAGTGACCAACACGTTTTGTAATCAGACCCGGGCGATGGTTTGCAGGACTGTGTGAATATGCTAAAAGACATTTAATCGTACTTTAAAAGGATGAATTTTGTGAATTCTGTCTCACAAAATAAAAGATTCAGGCTCAAAAAAAAAAAAAAAAAAAAAAAGGCAATGTATTCTAAATGCTTGCGGGCAAGGAATTCATTCAGCACACAGAATACACTGACAGTGTCGCTTCTTTTGGAGAAAAACAAAGGTTAAAATCCGAGACTTTTCGTGAATGTGAGAAGGGCCAGTGTGCTTACTGTCTTCTCTTCAGTTGGCCCTCTTTGGTCACTGCCTCCCCACAACAGCCTGAGTTCCGGGGTATTGTCCCGTGAGCAGGGGTCAGTGGACACCAGAACAGGTAGAAGCTCTGCCCTCGTGGAACTCATTTTTTCCTTCCTTCTTTTCCTGTTCTTTCCACATTTTCTGTTTATCCTATTTTACTTAATTTTTAAATGTGTATTTTTAAACTTTTTCTTCCACGTTAAAAAAAATTAATTTATTCATTTATTTTTCTATATGGCACTTCCCCCTCCACTCTTCCCACCTCTTCGTTCCTAGCTTCTACTCTACTGATTTTCCTTTGATTTTAATGAGATCCCTGCCTCTCTTCTCTTCTCCATTTTCCTCTGTGGCTTCCACGTATGAGAGAAAACACATGATTTTTGACCTTCTGGGTTTGACTTATTTATTTCCCTTAACATATGTTCTCAAGTTTTATCTATTTTTCTGCCAATGACATAATTTCACTGTCTTTATGGCTGAATAAAACTGCATTGTGTATATGTATCACATTTTCTTTATCCATTCATCTGTTGATGGTCACCTAGGCTGGTTCCATAGTTTGGCTATTGTGAATTGTGCTGCAATAAACATGGGTCTGCATGTGTCACTGTAGTATGCTGACTTCAATTCTTTAGGATAAATACTGAGGAGTGGTATTGCAGGTCATAAGGTGGTTCTAAGCCTAGTCTTTTGAGGAACCTCCATACTGATTTCCACAGTGGCTATACTAATTTTCAATCTCACCAACAGTTTAAAGGTGTTCTTTTTTCTCCCCATCCTCTCTAGCATTTACTACTCTTTATATTTTTTAAATAATTTTTAGTTGTAGATAGACACAATGCCTTTATTTTAAAATTTTTTAGCTGTAATTGGACACAATGCCTTTATTTATTTTTATGTGCTGCTGAGGACTGAACCCAGTGCCTCACATGTACTAGGCAAGCTCTCTGCCACTGAGCCACAACCCTAGCCCTGTTTATATTCTTGATGACTGATGTGAGATGAAATCTCAGTGTAGTTTTTATTTGCATTTCCCTAATTGCTAATGATGAATATTTTTTCATATATTTGTGGATCATTGAATTTCTTCTTTTACAAAGCATCTGTTTAGTTTGTTTGTCCATTTAATTGGATTATTTTTTTAGTGATAAGTTTTTTTTTAGTTCTTACATATTTTAAACATTAATCCTCTATCAGAAGATGTTTTATTCAGCTTTGTTGCCACTATAACCAAAAAAAAAAAATCTGCGAAGAACAATTTTAGAGGAGGAAAAGTTAATTTGGGGGTTCACAACTTCACAGGTCTCAGTCCATAGACAGCCAGCTCCATTTTTCTGGGCCTAATGTGTGGCAGAACATCATGGCAGAGAATGTGTAGGAAAGTGGCTCAGAACATGGCTACCAGGAAGTAAAGAGAGACACTGCAGACCAGGGACAAATATATACCACAGAATATGCCCCCCATGACCCTCCTCCTTCAACAGATTCTACCTGTCTACAGTTACCACCTAGTTAATACTAACCCAGTTTAGGTTAAGGCTCTCATAACCTAATCATTTCACTCCTGAACTTTCTTGAATTGTCTCATGTATGAGCTTTTGGGAGAGACCTAATACCTAAACCATAACAGAAGAATAGTTAACAAATATTTTCTCCCATTCTGTAGGTTCTCATTCCTAATTGTTTCCTTTGCTATGCAGAAGTCTTTTCAATTTGATAACATCCCATATATTAAATCTTCACATTATTTCCTGAGCTTTAGGGGTCCTATTGAGGTAGTCATTGCTTGTGCCTATATGTTGGAAGCATTGGCTTTACATTTTCTTCTAGGAGTTGCCTAGTTTCTGGTCTAATTCCTAGGTCCTTCATCCATTTTGAGTTGATTTTTGTACAGCATGAGAGATAAAGGTGTAGTTTCCTTATTGTACATGTAGATAACCAATTTTCCCAGGACCATTTGTTTAAAAGGCTGCTTTTTCTTCAATGTACGTTTTTTGGCTCCTTTGTCAAGGATCGGATGACTATATCTCTGTGGGTTTGTCTTTGTGTCTTCTATTCTGTACCACTGGTATATGTGTCGTTTCTTATGTCAGAATCATGTAGTTTTTGTTACTATAGTATAATTTGAAGGCAGGTATTTTGATACCTCCAGCATTGCTTTTTTGTCTTAGGATTGCTTTGTCTATTTTGGGTCTTTTATTCTTCCAAATGAATTTTAGGACTGTTTTTTCTAAGTCATTGGTATTTTGATGGGGATTGCTTTGAATCTGTATATTGCCTTTGGTAGTGTGGCCATTTTAATGATATTAATTATGCCTATCCATGAACATGGGAGGTCTTTCCATCTTATGAGGTCTTCTTCAATTTCTTTCTTCAGTGTTCTGTAGTTTTCATCGTAGAAGTCTTTAGCCTTCTAGATTTATTCCTAGGGTTTTTTGTTTTTGAGACTATTGTGAATAAAATAGGGTTTTTTTGACATTCTAAATATAGGATCATAAACTGCAGTGATAGTTTGTCTTCTTCCTTTGCTATTTTTATTCCTTTTTAAATTCCCTTCTTTTGCCTAATGGTGCTGGCTAAAATATCTAGCACTATAATAAATAGGAAGGGTGAGAGTGGACATGCTTGTCTTGTTCCAGATTTTAAAGGAAATGCTTTCAGTTTTTCCCCATTTATTATGAGATTGGCTTTGGGTTTTTCATAAATAGTGTTGAGGTAGCTTCTTTCTATCCCTAATTTCTTCAGTGTTTTTATCATGCATGGGTGCTGAATCACATTTATTGATTTGCATGTTAAACCATCCTTGTATCTCTGGAATAAAACCAATGTTTTATTCATGATGTACAATCTTCATAATATTTTGTTGAACACTAATATTAAGAATTTTTGCACCTAAGTTCATCCAAAATATTGGTCTGTAGTTCTCATTCCTTAATGCATCCTTATCTAGTTTTAGTATGATATTGATTTCATAGAATGAATTTGGAAGTGTTCTTTCCCCTTCTACTTCATGGAATAATTTGAGGAATATTGACATTAGTTCTTTAAATGTCTGGTAGAATTTGACTGAGAATCCATCTGGTCCTGGGCTTTTCTTTGTAGGGAGGCTTTTTTTTTTTTTTAACTGCTTCTGTCTTATTACAAGTTATTGGTCTGTTTGTTTCCTCTGTCCTCTTGATTCAATTTTGTTAGATTATATGTGTCTAGAAATGTATCCATTTCTTCTAGATTTTCCAATTTATTGGACTATAAATTTTCAAAATAGTCCCTAATGAGCTCTGGGTTTCTGTGATGTCTGTAGTATTTTCTCCTTTCCTCTCCTCTAATTTTATTAACTTGGAATTTCTCTCCTTTTCTTTTGGTTAGTTTGGCTAAGGGCTTATAGATCTTGTTTATCTTTTCAAAGAACCAACTTTGTTTCACTGATTCTTTGTATTTTTTTTTTATTCTCAAGTTCATTGATTTCAGCTCTGATCTTATTTCTTTCCTTCTACTGGTTTTGGGATTGGTTTGTTGTTCTTTTTTCAAGGGATTTGAGATTCACCATTGGGTTGTGTATTTGGGATCTTTCTGATTTTCTAGTGTAGGCACTCATAACTATAAACTTTCCTCTTAGAACTGTCTTTATAATGTCCCAGATGTTCTGTTTTTTTAACTGTTCCCATTTCAGCGAAAAAAAAAATTTAATTTCTTCCCTGATTCACCCATTCGTCATTCAAAAGTGTATTTTTCAATCTTCCTGTGTTTTTATAATTTCTATAGGGTCTTGTCATTTTGATTTCTAATTTCATGCAATCTGATAAGATGCAAGGAATTATACCTTTTTGTGTGTATTTGCTAAGAGTTGCTTTGTGGCCTGATTTTTAACTTTAAATTTTTTTAATAATTCCAGAATTACAAAAAGAGTTGAAAAAATAATTCATTGAGCATCATTATGTGTCAGGCAATAAACTGGAGGCTTAGAAAGGACTTATAATTGCTGCTGCTTCTTTTTCTTCCCAGGGCTGAGGATTCAACCCAGGGGCTTGTGAATGCTAGGCAAGTGTTCTGCCATTGAGCTATGTCTCCAAATCCAGGGATTTGTATTTTCTATGTTTTTTTAAAAAATCCAATTCCTGTCTAAATTAGAAGAAATTCATATGATCTATGAGAAAAGGAAACTCTCCCTAATGATTCCTACACAATTCTCTTAACCAAATTTGTTGAAAGGAATAAAAAAAAAATTCGGTTCTTAGAAAAGGAGACCTGGAGCTGGAAGTGGGGTGGGTTATGGTTAGGGTTGCCAAGTAAAATAGAAGGTGCCCAGGTGCCCAGTTACCTATGGAGATCAGATAAACAAAGAATAACTTTTTTAGGATAAGTATATCCCATACAAAGTTTGGGGCATAGTT